GATTGGTCACCCACTAGATAGAACGACGACCTGATAAGATAAGCAGGAAGTCAACGGATGCAGGTTGCTCAGGACCGAAATTTGTTGCATTTCTTGAAGGAGACCATCAACAGTGAAGCTGTGAAGGGCTATAATGATAATGATGGTGATGATGTATGTTTTTCATCATCTTCCTTTTGCAATAGAAAAAATAATGAAAGAAAAGTATGTTTGAAGTGAATCGATAATGCTTGTGATTTTTTTATTTTATACTGCACTATAATTTTACAACAAACTTGATAAGTTTGTATAGAAGTTTGCATCAAACAATGTTATTTTAGGCAACCCCAAATTATTCCGCTCCAAAACGTATACGACCGCAGTGTCCCTTCAACACGGTGATGAGACGACGTGCTCTCACGCAGGGGTCGCGGATTCGGTGTCCAGTTACTGCAATCGGCTTATAAATGTCACGGGAGCAAACACCACACCATAGATGGATTACTTTTAATGAGCAGTGTGAATTAAATCGTGTTATTTTATTTTAAGTTCTGTATCTTAATGGCTATAAAAATATCTACTTTTATTATAGAGTAAGGGTGTCAAACGAGCAGTCCACCTGATGGTAAGTAGATGTTGTGGCCCTTAGACATCTACGTCTATCCTCGATTAAGAATCAAAATGCAGATATGTTGTAACCCCTGAGGACTAAGACGGAATGCCTCGTTTCCAGTAAAAAGGGTCTACGCTTATCTAAACACACCATACGAAACACAGGCAACATTGATCTGCTATTTTACGTTGGTATTCTGTAACAGCATGGTCCTTTCTCTGTCGAGCTGATCCATTCGTGCCACTACCATAATATAGCTGCAGTGTGGCTCTACCATGTGTGTAATACTGACTCGCATTTTAGGAGTGTAAAGATATTTTACCTATATTTCAAAATCCTCATAAAACTTGTAGTAAAAGTAAATGTTATATGAGTGTCTTTACAATGTTTTGAAAATTATATCATTTTATTTATCAATTCTACTTTTAGCAAAATTATTTAATAGATAACAAAGCGACAGTAGTAAATCTCAAAAGTCGTAGGTTTGAATCTGCCGTTCAACTACTGGCGTGAACTTATACAAACATTTTAGCCAAGTTGGCGTGATTGACGACATTATTAGTAACAATTAAAGAAAAAAAAAGATGATCTGCCCTTTGGTGCTATTCCATAATCTTTGAATAGCAAAGATTATGGAATAGTACCAAAGGGCATTGAACCTTAGTTGTATGGAATTCAGAAATTGCCTGCGCTACCGGCACATCGATTGCATTAAGTTAATTTAAACGTTCTCTTGACTTTTCGCACGCATCCCTCTTTATGTTTGTACACATCCATTTGGGGTTGTATTAGTGAATATTAAGGGTCGCTCCCTGTGTGCGTGGTCCTGAGATGAATTAGGGGATTACAACGACTGCATCATGCAACTGCACTCTGATTTTGCACGCTGATGAACTACAGGATGAAGGAAGTTAAAAGTACAGGGCTTAATTTAAAATAAAATACTTTTAAGTTAACATTTCTTGTAAATATTTCATTGCACATCACAAATTCCTTTCCCAGATTCAGATCAAAAATTCACAAATATTTGCCGAGTTAAAATATTTTTCTTTTGAAATGTTAAATAAAAAAGTTAGTTCTGTGTTTATATTGCGATAGACACTTCGACAAAAACCCTCTTAGAAATGGAAGGAGGCCCGTGCCTAGCATTGGGACGTATTTAGATCTTTACATTACTGTTTTTCTCTTCTATGTTTGACTAAGTACCTGATAAAAAACAGCAACAACAGCAGTCTCATTTAAGTAGGTCAGCACTTATTCGTAAACCGAGCCTCTTATGGTAATAAGACTTATAGGATTACTGAAGAGATAGACTCTGTCTGCGAGTCCCAATACTTTATACATTATTTGTCGTATCTGTTATCATTCCTTGTGTACAAAATCTACAGCTGTCGTTATATAACAAATAAATCTGCGGTTAATTTTGACCAATTTTGATAATTCTGAAATTCTGAAAACTGAACAAGATTCACATATTATTTTTCATTTGTCTCTATTTGGTCAATGAAAACTTTGGTAACGATTGTTCATATATTAAATTATGCGGTTAAACTTACTATATTATGATGGGCCCCTTATTGACACTTTCTTGTTACCACCACCGCCATCTGTTAGTTAATTATTGTACTACTGTTGTTGATAAAATCCCTGGCAAATCGCTTAATCTTTTTATGGTTAATTTTAAATTAGAAAATATCACTGATAGTTTCACTTTTACTTTAATAGTGTCGCGTAATACATTATAATCAAGGATTTTATCAAAAACTGAAATACAACAAAAAATTAAATCAATTACGTTTAGTAAAACAATCTCAATTCTCGAATAAAACAATTACCGAAAGCAGACTATGATATCGTTGTTTTTGTCAAATTCAAACGTTTTTATTGTAACTCCTACACCCTATATCGCGTGGGGTGCGGCACAGGGGCGACGGGTAATGGCCTAAGAGTAATTTTATTACTTTGCCCCTATTACCATCACAATGTGCATGCCACCGGTCGAATGCGATACGCGGATACTCGATACTTTGCGTTGCGTTTCATCATTGTCAGCTATTTTATCGATATCTAGTCGACAGCCGCCTCTCAGCACTATTCGATGCTATATATGCATTTCGTTGTAAATTCATTGTGTTAATTATTTCGTTAAATGAGTTATTTATCTTGTGTATATCAAGTAATTTATTAAAATATGTCAGTTAAAAAAACAGTGCATTTGTTAATAATTTAAAAAAGTTTTCGTATCTCAATTTGGTTTTCTTTTTTGTAGACCAACTAAATCGAATCTTGTCTTTGTATTAACTGTACTTCGATTTTTTTATTTATCCGGAGTACAACACAAGGTAAGCAGAAATAAGACGAAGTGCACAGCCCGCTCTGCTGATTCGATTTGTTCCTGTTGCGATGAATATTTGATACGACTCAGTGCACACTAATTTGTTTATCGTGCTCCTGCTCGCCTGGTACACGTGGAACATTTTCAAAGTGAAAATCGCATTAATTATTCAGAAAAACAAAGCGTCTTTCTACTCACTTGCATTCAACATCGATCTCACATTTGTCTCTTTTTCTTACAGATAAAATTAAAACTTAAAAATATGTTTGGCCAGTAGTTACTGCTTTCGAGTAAAACTAGGTCTAGTATAAAGTTCGATTAAAATAATTATGACTTCAGTTAACTTTGTTAAACATATATGACTCATCAAGTAATATCAGCGACATTAGGTTAAAAGGTCCTGCAAGACCGCGGATAAGTTACGGGTAATACACGAAGAACTAGTAAACCTATCTTTATGTGGCGAGAGATATAGGTAAAAGGGTAGTAACTATTCAGACAAATTCCTAGGCAAAAAAGGAATCCTATCACGTAGAAAAACCAACGTGATTGATGTGTGTGCATGAAACCCTTAAGGTAACTTGAAAAATGTTTGCGAAAGTAAACCAACTCATCGCCGCTAATCTGAGCAAAACGAACCAGGCACGTATAACTCGCGACGTACCACGAATTAATTAAGTGTATATACTCAAGATACGAATCAGCGGTGTGGCAGGTGATTAAATAAATACTAGTTGGCGTTTCTAATTAATATGCCAGACGCACGGCTGATAGGCGAGCGTCTCGCGACACGACATCTCCTGCGATTCCTGTTAGCTTGGTACGATTAACACTTTATTGAACTAGCTATGCGAAAATTTGTCTAGACTGTCCTAGTCTAGGCTAGATAATCTAGCACCATCTGAGATCAATTTAAATATTTATGGAGATGTTGCATTAACATATAACTTTATTGCATGGAGTAACCAGTGATGGGAAAATAGAAAGGAGATTTTCTAAAGACCAACTGCCTTGTCCTATCATTTTCAAATTAAGAATTCACCACACAGGTCTCTTTAGGTTCTGTCTCTAGTTATTTGATATCACCAACTTAGTCATTTTATGAACGATATCAGATTTCTTAGTATATTCTTAGAAGCTTTTAAATCATCAACGCTTGAGAAGATTTATTAATCTCTTAAACGTAAAAATGTCCGCTTTACAAAAAAGTCTACGAATATCAGCTGTGCAGGGTTACACTGTTGAAGAAATAGTGTATCTATTTTTTTTTTCCTACTTTATCTTTGACATGTCTGGCAAATTGCATAGGTCTCACCCGAAATAGGGCTTATTTACCACAAACGGCAAGCTAAGCAGGCGGCTTGACAATTGCATTACGAGACATCATTATAATTTTCAATAGGATGAAATAGACTGATGAATTCTCTTATGAATCCATCACAAGGTAGGCAACCCCGATCCGTATTCCTTCATTTGAGCTTTCTAGATATAGCAATGGTGATAGGCGATGATTATTTGTCTAAATGGGACAAGACTAAAATTAACTTCCAACAATGATCTGAAATTATTGCCCGTAGTTTACTGGCGCTTTCTAACCTTAAAAATGTAACACAGAGCACGCAATATTGCTTGCCGCTTGGCAGCAGAGGCAATAGTAAGTTATTGGTAAGAGAGTTGTACCTATCAGACGGACACTTAGGCAGAAAGTAAGTCCTATCACGACATAAAAATATAGACTGAAAAGTATACTGTTCTAGTCCTTGACTTGAGATTACAACGCGTCTTTGGATGCAGGTAACCATGGGATGATGTAGTCACTTACCGTCAAGTGGACTCTAGGTTCCTTTGTCATTTAAATTTTATAAAAAAACAAACTGCAACACCCTATTCCACCACCACGGGCGTTGAATTTTCCAAAATACTTTCTAAGTGGATGTCTATGTCGAGAAAAGAGTATATATGCGAAATTTCAAGTCAATCGAGTGTATACGTTTGGAGATCTCTTGATGAAAGAATGACTCAGTCATATTTCGCTTTTAGATATGTATATAGATATAAATGTCTCATTCGCAGGGGACGCGAGTAACGCGAGCATCGGGTCTGGTGAAGGCACGGGCGAGGAGGATGACGATACCAATGGCAAGAAGAACCAGAAAAAACGCGGCATCTTCCCCAAGGTAGCCACCAACATCCTCCGCGCGTGGCTCTTCCAGCACTTAACGGTGAGTACTGTAAGTTTACATTTGTCTAACGGTAGATTAACTTTGATTAAAGTTACATACATAGCCCAACGGATTAATAAGCTTAAGTGGCAATGGGCTGGCCATATAGCCCGAGGAACCGACAACCGAAGGGTAACAAGTTCTCGAGTGGCAACTTCGTACTGGTAGACAAAGTGAAGGGCGTCCCCCACCGGATGGAGTGACGACCTGGTGAGATATGCAGAGGAAGTCGATGGATGCAGGTGGCTCAGGACCGTGCTTTGTGGCATTCCTTGGGGGAAGCCTATGTTCAGCAGTGGACTTCTGAAGGTCTGTAATGATGATGAACGGTATATTAACTTTTCAGGTTTTTCTTTATCATTCGGTGAATTTTTTACTCGATCTTCTCAGGACAAAAGTTTTTGCCCGAACCAGTATTAAAAGTATAAAACTGCTCTCAAATGTTATATAAGAACCATTCTATTAATTTTATAATCTTTTCGCCTCTCTCTTTCTCTCTGACCTAAAATTTCGTAGGTCTGTACCAGATATACTTTTTACTATTTTATAATTAAACCGTAAGGAAAATATTGATAAATCGTTCATCAAAATAAACCTCACAGAAAGTTATTTTTTATATATTGATAAACGCAGCACGTACCTACATATTTCCATACCATATCAACTGTATCCCGGATGCGTTTCACATACATAAATTAATTGCATACTAACAAACGCCCTGACCGTGTTTTATGGCATTCCTTGAGGCAGGCCTATGTTCGTCAGTGGACTTGTGAAGAGCTGAAATAAATCGTATATGATAATGATGGTGAAATACCCAAATGCTGAACAATAATTATTTGTAGGCCATACCAAACTTTTTCGAGTGGGAATCGAATATGCGACCCGCAACATCACATACAAATGCTAAGTCTTTTTTTTTTAATTGACTGTTAGAAGTAAAAATATTCAAATTTTTCTTTCCTGATTGAGTAATGTCGTTATTATAACACCTAACCAGTAATCACATCATTTTGTGTCATAGATTATAATTACATTGTGTAATAGATATGGTAGTTCCTATAGAATTGTCAAGTTTAACAATTGAACTAATTATTAATTTGGCCAAAGTATCCATCGATTTTTTTTCTGTTTTGAGACCATTTTGCTGAAAACAGCAATTATTGCGCGTCGGCGTAAACTGTAAACCATTCGCGGCGGCCTATGACGCGCGAACGGCGCAGTTTAGGACAATTGTAGCGCCGTGTTGCCGAGTTTTCAATTAAAATTTCCCGACAGAGCAATAAATTTTTCATTGCGCACACAAAGACCCAGTTTCGAAAGGGAGCCAGCCACCTTTCCCAAACACAATAGTGACGCAATTAAACTCGTCCGTTCCTCTCGATGCGAGTTAGTTTTATCATTGTGATTGATGAAGTAAAAAATAAACATTAGCATAAGACGTTAGCGGGGTGGTTGAGTCGCGGCTGACGAGTGCACGGCTCGCTGTTGCGTTGTAATTTCTAGAATGGCTTTCTACGCGGGCGGGAGTAGGGGGAGCGCGGGGGGTTGGGGGTGCAATTTCATTACCGGTCCGGATCCAGGGCCATAAATCACCAGGGCCGAAGAAGGCGCTCAGCTCCCGGCGTTCGGTTCAGGTGACGCGGAGTCTCCTGAGTCCGCTATTTCTGTTTCATTCGCGTGCCGAATCCCGCTCTCTTTACGGCTACGAATTCCGCGAATTTTCCGCGAACAAGTTTTAATTGCTACAGAAAAGCTGCCGCGTCTCGGTGAAATGTACAGCGGATTTATGTTCGAATTTCGGAACGGCGTGTGTTTTTTTTTAAACTTTGTAGTTTCGTTTTTTTTTAGAATAGATAGCCGACGACAATCGAATTAGGAGGCTTTTAGCGCGCTCCGTTTCGCGTTTTTGCGCTTCGCTGTCCGCGCCAATTACCGCGCTCCAAATTACTTATAATTGCTTCGCTTAGCGCTAAGTGCTTTCATTACCGCTCCCCGGAAATGGTTCCGGTGCGGGACGTCTCATTTTAAAACACCAATGTGTTGATGAAGCAGTGCAAATCGAGTTTGAATTTCGAACAGCTGCTCATATCATGTGGCTGCAGCGATGTTAAATTTTTTATAGATAGAGATAGAGATATTTTTTATAGAGTGTCAAACGAGCACAAACGAGCGCACAGTCCACCTGATGATAAGTGGATGCTATGGCCCAAATACTCTTATACTTATACTCTACGATAGGCATCTACATTTATACTCAATTAAAAATTAAAACGTAGATGCGTTATAACCCTGAGAATTAAGATGGAATGCCTCGTTCCCAGTAAAAAGGGTCTCCCGTTCTCTGAACTTACTACACGAAACACAGCATCATAAAGTTGCTAGTTTACGCCGGTATTTTCTGAAAGCATGGTCCCACCCCGGTCGAGCCGATCTATTCTTGCTACAACCATAATAGACCTGCAGCGTAGATCTACGACGTAAAATTTGCTATCCGAAATTTGCGTCAAAAAGCACAATCCGATGCATACAGAGCCCGGCTGTCGGTCTGTGTGTAATATTCATTCGATTAGCGCTGCGTGGTTCGGATCGTACGATGACAATGTCACACTCGACCGCCGCTGATTGCGCACTGTATTTCAATTTGCAACAAATGAACGGCGTGTCGACGATCCTTGGGCCGGACTCGATTTGCGATTACACCGAAACGGGCACTGGCGTGGAGAGACGACTATTGATTGAATTCGATTGCTAATTTCGCGCGACATGCCCGCGGAAAAATGTGGAACAGGGTTGCCAGGTTTGGATCCTACAGTTTTTACTAATTCGGTTACATTAATAGTATTATGATAATGTAGAAGTAGAGTTTTTATAAAGTTGAATCACTAAAACATTGTATAGAATAAGTGTGACAAACGAGCACACAGTCCACCAGACATTTATCCTTGATTAAGAATCTAAATTCAGAAGCAAGACTCCAACACAACATTCCGTCATAATCCCCATGAATAACAACGTGCCCTGCACCTAATTTCTGTCTGATTTAGGGATTAAGGATCTTTGAAAGTTTTACATACGGTAGATAGAGATTTTAAAAAATGGGCTTGCTCCACCAGAGAAAGACCACGCTCTAACAGAACATCAGTGTGGAATATAAAGCTGCTATATTTTTCAATGATAACGAGTTTCTTTTCAAGGATCAAAGCCACATATTACGTGGTATAGCATGCTACAGGTATATGACAGCTGCTCGTAGAATACCACACTCTCACAGACTACCAGCGTGAAACAGCAAAATAATGTTGTGTTTCGTATGGTGAGTGTAGAGAACCGGAGATCCTTTTTTTTTGTTAACAAAGCATTGCATCATAGTCCATACCCCGGTCGAGCCGACACACCCGTGCTACAACTGTAATATAGTTGCAGCGTAGCTCCAAAACTATAATATACTTGCAGCAAGGCTCTACCAAGTGTATATAAAATATGTTTTACGCAACTGGCAACACTGCAAACGATGTAGAAGTTACGCGGTTCTGTATTTAAATTCTGGCGTTCGCGCGCAATATTAGTTGCAACGGGCGGTCGCGGCTCTCTGCTGTGAATTTTAAAACGCACTGATCCAGATCGTCGGTATTTGAATTTCATTGATCGGCACGGGCAGTCCTTGTTTTGTAATTGCAGAGCCAACAGCACTTCGTTTTCGGTACCGATTTGAAATGTGGTTCGAGAAGCATTTCGAAACATATACGCGAATTAATCTATTATGTGAAAAGCTTTTTAGATATACGCACGAATGGGTCGGCTCGACCGGGGAAGGACCACGCTCTCACAGAATACCAGCGTAAAATAGCAGCTTAATACTGCTGTGTATGGTGAGTGTAGAGAACCGGAGACCCTTTTCACTGGAAAAGAGGCTTTCCATCTTAGTCCTCACGGGTGACAACGCATCTGCATTTTGATTCGCAAACGAGGATAAATGTAGATGTCTATGGGCCACAGCAACCACTTACCATCAGGTGAATTGTGAGCTCGTTTGTCACTCGATCCCATAAAAAAAAAACCTTTGATATGAATATCCCCCAGTCTGAATTTCTTTCATAGTGGCCAGTATCTGAAATACTGGCCATCTGCACCGGACAGTATTACATAGTTGAGTGTATGCGCAAGCACAGGTGCACTCTCTATTCTCTCACTCTCAAATTCCGATGGGACGGTAAGCCGACACGACCTTGCTTGCTTGCTTGCTGCTTTCTGAAGCCCGGGTTTGAGACACCGCCAACTTCTTGGCTCCGTAAATTAAATATTTTGTACAGCCGACTTCTATATGAGTTATTAAAAATAACTCAAAAACTATTGATCTGACCTTGATCAAATTCATATGGGACCACAAGAGAAGTACCAGCTTTCAAATAAAAAAGAATCATCCAAATCGGTTCACCCAGTAAAAAGTTATGAGGTAACACACATAAAAAAAACCTACAATCGAATTGAGTACCGTCTCCTTTTTGGAAAGTCGGCAGATAAAATATGCCAAAGTGCGCAGATTTCCGATATGCTTAGTTTTTTTTTTCTCAAATTCTGTATAAGTTTTGTTTCTGTTGCATTCGCATTTCATAAAGTTGTTTTTTTTTAGGTACTCACTTTAATTGATTTGCAAATAACGCACTCCGTATGCCCACAGGGTAGAACATAGTTGAACTTGGTTATATATGTAGCTAACATCTACATAACACATATGATCCACGAAATAAATGATTCTGATTCAGGTATCCTGATTCTACGTCATCATTTAAGCCACATCTCGCACACAGCCGCGTCGGGCCGCACACGATTGTCATTCTTCCCGTCACGTGTAATCTCGTTAATGATTAATAAATCTGCAGGCACGTCGCGTCGCACCTCACGTTCCTCTGCGGCCCTCCGCGCCAAGAAATAATATTGAATAACGTCTCCGTCCAACAAATCCTACCTTGCGACTTTAAGCCCTTTCAGGGGGCTAA